AACTGAGAAGGCGCCGGAAATTATGCTGGGTGGAGAAATACTTCGATAGAAGGTCCCCTCAGAGGAACCAGGAGAGACTCTTCAAGTGCTCTGAGTGCGAGATATCCTTTACTCACAAATTCCTCCTTTTGATTATCCGGACGCTGGACATTGAGAATAGATCCCATCTGTGTTTGAAGTGTGGGAACTCGTTTCGTGGTTGTGGAGCTTTCCCAAACATCTCCGGAGCCACCTCGGACTGAAGCCCTACAAATGTGGAGAGTGTGGGAAGCATTTTGCTAAAGGCTGGGACATCGGAGCTCCTTATCGTATCCACCAGGGAAAGAGACCTCAGGAAGGCCTCAGTGTTTTTCCAGGCCTCAGAACAGCCCAACTGAAGAGGAACCCCTGAAATTGTGTGCAATGTGGGCTTTGCTTTTCTCAAAACTCAGAGATGCTTAAACATCAACAAATCCACACTGGATAAAAACCTTATTAATGTTTGTAGTGTGGGAAATCTTTTGTTCGAAAAACAAGTCTCAAAATCCACGGGAAAATTCACATGGAAATAAAACCTTATAAATGCTTAGAGTGTGGAAAATGTTTCACTCGGAGTTCATCACTTTGCAAACATAATAAAACACACACAGAGGAGGAAAGCAGAACGTGCCTAGAATGTGGGAAATGTTTTTCCAACAAATCATCCCTGCAGCGACATCAGAGAATCCACACTGGGGAGAGACCTTATCAATGTCTGGAATGTGGGAAATGTTTTTCCAGGAAATCATCCCTGCGGGTACATCAGACAATCCACACTGGGGAAAGACCCCATGAATGCCCAGAATGTGAGAAACGATTTGGGAGTCCTTCCACACTTTGGACACACCAAAAGACGCACACGAGAGAAAAACCTTATAAATGTAACGATTGTGAGAAATGTTTTGCTCTAAAGAAAAGTCTTTTTCTACATCAGATAATCCACACAGGGGAGAAACCCTATCAGTGCATCGAGTGTGGAAAATTTTTTCGTACGTTGTCAAGCCTTGGAAAGCATAAGAAAATTCATAGAGGGGAAAGAAAATACAAATGTTTAGACTGTGGGAGAGCATTTATTAATTCAGATCGTCTTAGAAGTCACTGGCAAGCCCATATAGGAGAGACGCCCCATAAATGCTCGGAGTGCGATAAATGTTTTTCTAGGAGATACAGCCTTTTGTTACATCAGAGTACCCACAGTGGAGAGAAACCACATAAATGTTCGGAGTGTGGGAGATGTTTCGCCCAAAAAACAAACCTAACTCGACACGAGAGACTTCACACTGGGGACAGGCCCTATCAGTGCCCTGAATGTGACAAGCGATTTCTGGTGTCTGCTGAACTCCGGATACACCAGAGAACCCACAGTGGAGAGAAACCATATAAATGTCCGGAGTGTGGGAGATGTTTCGCCCGAAGGACAAGCCTAACTCGACATGAGAGACTTCACACCGGAGACAGGCCCTATCAGTGCCCAGAATGTGACAAGCGATTTCTGGTGTCTGCTGAACTCCGGATACATCAGAGGATCCACACTAGGGAGAAGCCGTACAAATGTGTGGAGTGTGGGAAATGCTTTTCCCAAAAACAACACCTTGGAACTCATCAAAAGGTCCATAAAAGAAGGAAGCCATAAAGACTCATAGTATGTAGAAATGTTTTGCTTAAAAGGGAGATATCAGAAAACTCAAATGGGAAAAGGCCTTACGCCCTGATGGTGGACCAGTTTTTTATAGTTGTTCAACCCTTAGAAGTCATGTAAGAGTTCCTAAAGAGGGGTGGGTGTGGGTGGGAATTAGAAACTCTTAGATCATGAGAGAGCATTTTTTTTGTCATTCATCCCTTAAAAATCATACTCTAATCCAGGGGTATCAAACTCGCAACGTCACGTGATCTTTAACGACGTGTCGTGACTTTTTATGCCGTTGCTGGCAATGGGGTGGGTGCACTTTTGCTATGATGCATCCGGTTCGTGGGCTGGCAGTTTGACACCCCTGCTCTGATCCATATAGGAAAGATGCAGCATAAATATTTGGAGTGTGATGTATGTTTCGCCTGAAAAAATACTCTTTTTCAGCATCAGTGAATTCTTACTGGAGAGAAACTTTTATGAGGGCTTAGGATGTGGCAAAGGTTTTCATCTGATAATCAGATCTTCAGATGCACAATGAAAAATCCACACAGAAGAAAAACCTCGACAAGCGTGTAGCGTGAGAAAATTTGCCAATTGGAACATCTTGCCTCCTGGAGTTTGTCTGTTTGAAATTGTCTCCTTGGAAATTTTGTTGCCAACTTAAATTTTTTATAATTTTTAAAGCAAATTTAATTTTAAGAAGTGAATATGAAAATCTAATGTGAGTGTGAAAATCTAATGTGAAATTCTCTGGAATCATATAAGAGGGTTAGACTAGAAGACTACAACTCTTGTTATTCTGTTATAGGTCCCTTGTAGCTCTGTGATTCTAAGTATATATATTCTTATATATACAGGTAGTCCTCGACTTACAACTACAATTGAGCCCAAAATTTCTGTTGTTAAGTGAGACATTTGTTAAGTGAGTTTTGCCCCATTTTACGACCTTTTTTGCCACAGTTGCCGAGTGAATCACTGCAGTTGATAAGTTAGTCCCGCGGTTGTTAAGTGAATCTGGCTTCTCCCATTGACTTTGCTTGTCAGAAGGAAGGCTGCAAAAGGGGATCACGTGACCCTGGGACACAGCAACGGTCATAAGTATGAGCCGGTTGCCAAGCATCTGAATTTTGATCACATGACCATGGGGATGCTGTAAAGGTGGTAACTGAAAAACGGTCATAAATCAACTTTTTTTCAGTGCCGTTGTAACTTTGAAAGGTCACTAAATGAACTATTGTAACTAGTGTGTCTGTGTGTGTGTGTGTGTTAAAATTCAATTTTGCCCCTAGCACATCCTCCACAGTGGGGATCAGTCTTCAGCAGAAAAAATACAAATCCCTCAGCTAAATCATTATTT